ATAATCTAAACCAAATCCCTTATGAATATACAGTGGAAGTGAAGAACAGTTTTAAGGAACTAACGCCTGACAGAGTGCCTGAAGAACTATGGATGGACGCTTTTAACACTGTACAGGAGTCAGCAACAAAAACCATCCCAAAGAAAAGGAAGTGCAAGCAAGCAAAGTGGCTGTCCAACGAGGCCTTACAAATAGCAGAGAAGAGAAGGGAAATAAAATGCAAGGGAGATAGGGAAAGGTACGGAAAATGGAATGCAGACTTCCAAAGAATAGCAAGGAGGGACAGGAGGGCCGTCTTAAATGAACAGTGCAAAGAAATAGAGGCAAAGAATAGAAAGGGAAAAACCAGAGATCTGTTCAAGAAAATTGGAGATATTAAAGGAACATTTTGTGCAAAGTTGGACATGATAAAGGACAAAAATGGGAGGGACCTAACAGAAGCAGAAGACATCAAGAAGAAGTGGCAAGAATACACAGAGGAATTATACCAAAAAGATCTGTATCTCCCGGACAACCCAGACAGTGTGGTTGCTGATCTTAAACCAGACATCCTAGAGAGTGAAGCCAAGTGGGCCTTAGAAAGCATGGCTAACAACAAGGCCAGTGGAGGTGATGGCATTCCAGTTGAACTATTTAAAATCTTAAAAGATGGCACTGTTAAGATGCTACACTCAATATGCCAGCAAGTTTGGAAAACTCAGCAGTGGCCAGAGAACTGGAAAAGATCAGTCTACATACCAATCCCAAAGAAGGGCAGTGCCAAAGAATGCTCCAACTACCGTACAGTTGCACTCATTTTACATGCTAGCATGGTTATGCTCCAAATCCTACAAGTAGGCTTCAGCAATATGTGGACCGAGAAGTACCAGAAGTACAAGCTGGATTTCGAAGAGGCAGAGGAATTAGAGACTAAATTGCCAACATACGCTCGATTATGGAGAAAGCCAGAGAGTTCCAGGAAAACATATACTTTTGCTTCATTGACTATGCAAAAGCCTTTGACTGTGTCGACCACAGCAAACTATGGCAAGTTCTTAAGGAAATGGGAGTGCCTGACCACCTTATCTATCTCGTGAGAAATCTATATGTGGGACAGGAAGCAACAATTAGAACTGGATATAGAACAACTGATTGGTTCAAAATTGGGAAAGGAGTACGACAAGACTGTATATTGTCCCCCTGCTTATTTAATCTATACGCAGAATACATCATGCGAAAGATTGGACTGGAAGAATCCCAAGCCGGAATTAAGATTGCCAGAAGAAACATCAACAATGTCAGATATACAGATGATACCACTCTGATGGCAGAAAGTGAGGAGGAATTAAAGAACCCCTTAATGAGGGTGAAAGAGGAGAGTGCAAAAAAATGGTCTGAAGCTCAACATAAAAAAAAAAAAACCCAAGATCATGGCCACTGGTCCCATCACCTCCTGGCAAACAGAAGGTGAAGATATGGAGGCAGTGACCGATTTTATCTTTTTGGGCTCTTTGATCACTGTAGATGGTGACAGCACCCACGAAATTAAAAGACTCCTGCTTCTTGGGAGGAAAGTGATGACAAACCTAGACAGCATCTTGAAAAGCATAGACATCCCTTGCCAACAAAGGTCCACATAGTCAAAGCTATGGTTTTTCCAGTGGCGATGTATGGAAGTGAGAGCTGGACCATAAAGAGGGCTGACCGCCGAAGAACTGATGCTTTTGAATTGTGGTGCTGGAGGAGACTCTTGAGAGTCCCCTGGACCGCAAGGAGAACAAACCTATCCATTGTGAAGGAAATCAACCCTGAGTGCTCACTGGAAGGACAGACCCTGAAGCTGAGGCTCCAATACTTTGGCCATCTCATGAGAAGACTCCTTGGAAAAGCCCCTGATGTTGGGAAAGTGTGAAGGCAAGAGGAGAAGGGGACGACAGAGGACGAGATGGTTGGACAGTGTCATTGAAGCTACCAACATGAATGTAACCCAACTCTGGGAGGCATTGGAAGACAGTGGGGCGTGGCATGCTCTGGTCCACGGGGTTACGAAGAGTTGGACACGACTTAACAACTGAAGAATAACATGCATTATATTATGCATTCCTGTAAATGAAACTGATGGAAATGTGAAAAACCTGACCCAATCTTCCATTATATATCTCAAACCTGTATGCATTTTCTTCAGTACAAGGGGGAATCTGTACCTCAACTTTGAATACTCACATCTAACTCCTTAAGAACAACAGTGAACAGAACAAAATTCATAGTCTCAAATATGAATACTTGTAAAGAGTTACACAAAATAAATAATTAAAAGATCATTTAGACTACTTGTAATTAGTATAAATTAATTTCATTAAAGCAATGACTTATGGGCTCTGCTGGACCTCCTGTTCCACACAGCATGTGTAAGTACGTAATCTATTATAACGATGAACTTTCAGAAATGTCACTTCATGGTAAAAACTATTTGCTAACTTTTACCTCTGACAGCATAGCCATCTTTCACTGAAGCTGGAAAGGGTGGTAGGTTGTCTTTTGCATAAACATCTTGAGCCAAGACCCTGCCCATTCCATCTAATACATGATAATGACAGAAGAAGGAGAAAGGAAAATATCGTTATTAGTAAATCCAGACCAAATATTAACTGTACATGCACAATAATTTTCATAAAAGTGGTAATTCAACAGGATTTCAGCCACTGTATTTTTAATATTTTAGAATCCACTTAGAAAAACACTTTGCTCAATGGATATATTACCTGCAAAAATGCATACATTTGAAAAAGAGTGCACATTGAAATATACACATATTTTAATGGAACTAAAAAAAAGGCAAGTCTGATAGAGAACTGGTAATCTGCAGTGTCAGCTGTCAAACCTACAGTTCAATGCATTCCAATGGGGGGGGGGAATTCACCAAAAATTAACGAAGAGTCAGAACAAAGCCAAATTAAGTTTGCAAAGGTTTTACAAGGTGCACTAACGATCTCAAGCATTTAAAACCATTTTTGAACATTTTAAGACACTTTAAAAATAGCGAAAACGGACCTGTCAAAACCATTGAAATGCACTGAATAGGCTTCAATGCATTCCAATGGGGGAAACATTGTTTCGCTTAGCGATGTTTCCTATGGCGATTTTCGCCTCAGGACGGTAATCCGTTCCCATTGGAATAGATTATCCGGTTTTCAATGCATTCCTATGGGAAATGGTGTTTCGCTTAGCACTGTTTTCCCATAGCGATGTTTTTTTGGGAACCAATTAACATCGTTAAGCGAGGCACTACTGTACAGGATATTGGTCAAAATCCTGTTGCTAAATTACATAAAAGATATAACATTTGAAGGAGAACTGCCTCAGATTCAGAAATCTCCATAGATATTATCTGTTGCATACTAAGAGTCTACCAAGATTTCTTAACTTGGAGCAATTTACGTGAAAAAGTTATGCCTGTTGTGCAGCACTGCAGCAGGATTTCAGCCATTGTGAAAGGTCAATGGTGGTAATGCTGGAATTTAATGCTTAATTCTTTGAATTAACTTTTAAAGCTTGGATAGCAATTTTGCTCTAAAAGGCAGTAGTTTGCTTCACTGAGTGGCCATATGGCAGCATCTTATATAAGTAATAAAGGATATACTTTTTCTTTGGCAAAATGGCATTACTGAGACATTTAGATTTTTGTCTTTTTGATATAAATCAGCTAGAGGTTTTAGTGCAGGTAACTAAGCACTGAATCACTAGTTCCAGATAAAGTTGCATTTGCATTATGATTCCACGTGGTAAATTCCAGGTTTCAGACAAGCTAGTGTCTCTTCGATCCAGCATTCATTTAAATGGTAACTTATCAACACAACTAAATTGTTGTAAGTATTAAAGCAATAATGAAAATGAAATATATTGAACACTTTGAAGAGCCATATATTACATTAAAAACTAAATGAAAACCAAAGCCTCCTCCTCTTGCTTCCTCTTCAGATGTCTGAGGTCATTATGAAATACCTCGATAATTGATTATTTCTGTTCCAAGCACTGGGGTCATCTCCAGCACTGTGATGAAGGCTTTATCCATAGATGTTAATGGAAATGGAGACATACGATGTCTTCTGGCTACCTTCGTAATGTCTACTGCGCTATGACCTGCAGAATAAAAACATGAAGATTTTTTTTTTTTAAATCTTGTGCTTTCTTACAAAAATAGTACTGAGATGTACCTAGATTTTTTCCCCCTTCAGTAACAACTGCATGCTACCTAAAAAGCAAACACATTCTCTAATAGACCCTGTCTGGAGTGCAAACCATGGCCTAAATCTTGGGGCTCAGCATTAACCAAATCATAACTTTCAATTCATTCCTACCTGGTAAATAAAGCATCCCTGCTACAATTCTCAGTATGGATGCATACATCAAGCCAGCATGCATGCTCACACCCCTACCCCAAGACTCATGGTAAGGACAGGTTTGTTCATGAGGGAGGAACAAACAAACAAAAAGTATGATTTGGCTTATGCTAAGCAACAGGACTTGGGCCAATATTTAAAACTGAACATCTTTAGTGTAGGTTTGTTATTTAAGAATGCATTAAAATGTAATCCCCCCAAAATTTAGACACACCTTGGAATAAAGCGTACAATCAACAGACATATAAATATTAGAAATGGTTAAAGTTACTACTATGCTGAAAAATCCATTACAGCTTTTATAAGCAACCACAAAGTATTTCCTGATTTATAAGGCAAAAAAGAAGTAGATTCTATGTTACACATCACCAGAAAAATCTATTAACACTTTCCAGAACTGAAATTTGATTCCTTAAGAGCTGGGATTTCAACAGCTGAAATCTAGTAGTCTCAACTAGAGTAGGTCCATTGAATCAATGGAATTTACAGAGGAGTTTCTCACCAAATTTGTACTGATTCAATGGGCCTACTCTAGTTGTAACTTATGACCGGATTTCAGCCAGTTTGTACGAAGACATTAAAATATATAGTTTCATCTCAAGGACAGATTATTTCTAGCCATTAAATTTTCCAAAAAATGAGAAGCTGGCTGAGGCAAAAATTGTTCAGATGTCACTTTGAATCAACATCACCACCTTTTGTCTGGATATAACATCATGTTTGTCTATGAGGTTAATGTTTTATTATTTCTCATTTCTAAAACTACTAGTTGTAAATTGCTTGTACTTCACTTTACTCAACTTTATACCTAACTTAAGCTCTATTTACGAGGCAAAACATAACCATTATTTTCGGTTTAACTGAGACCAGAATAATGTGTGCTTAAGCATCTATGGTGCACTCTTGTAGTGCTTGTAACTCACTTCAACCTCATGTTCATTTCTTAATTTGAGTGAATGAATCTGAGATTCAAATGAGTTTCTTCATTTTTAAAATAAGCTGAGTAAACTAGAGAGTATGTAATAACAATGTGTGTTTAAGCCTGGCATTTCCTCTATGAATAAAAGGGATTCTTACACTCATAGAGAGAACTGAGATCTTGCTAAGGCCTCCTACTGGAGGAACGAGTGGGGCAATTCCCTCTTTTCCTTCCAGCCCGCAGAATCTTATCCCATACAGTTCTGGAGGGCCCCACAACTTCCCAGAGAAGCTTTTCAGGGATTGCAGTGACAGTCTCACCAATGCCTGTAGAATGCAACTGAATACAAGTACGGTTTCAATCCAGTGTGTTTATCACTGCTGAATTATCAGCTAATGCTCTGAACTCATTAACACTAATATGTCGTGTAAGAGAGGTGTCCTCAAAACATGCTCAATTAAACCATTGTTTTATTACTACTGCAATAAAAATTATTATTCTACTATCTTGGTTCACTGTATAATGGAAATTAATAAAAATGAAATTAAAATGTAATTTCTCTAGTTTACATGTATTTCCTTTGGAAAAGCTGACACCCCTAAGGATGTGGGGAGAATCGTTGAGTTTTGAGACTTATTCTATGCATGGTAAATCTCTGCCCCTTTCTGGCTTACAAAAGTATTGTCCAGAGTTTTGTGGTTTGGTTTCACCAATAGAATGGAATCAGCATCTGGTGTTAATAATGGACTGGATGTAGCGAAACAGATGGAAATGTAATCGAAACAAGTGAGAGATGCTCTTCTTCAGTGAACAAACAGATTAGAAATACAATTCAGTTTTCTTCAGATGGCATAACATTCCCTGTGAAAACTCGAATTTACAGTTTTGTTGTATTTCAACTTGAGCCTTGGTGCCAAGGTTATGGTACAGCCAGGAGGGTTTCTGCACAGTTAAAACTAGTACATCAGCTGTATCAATTGCTGGACTGTCTGATTAGGTCGTACTGCCCTATGTTTGGAAACGATGGTGTGTCCAAAATGCAATAACTAGACTGTTGACTGGCTTGATTAAAGGAAACACCCAAGCTCCTTGTCGCAACAGCTTCACTGGCTAGAGATCCATTTCCAAAGGGGGAAAAAAATCAAAGTGCTAATGATGGTTGCTGTGTTACTTGTTTGGGCAGGATTTTTGGCATATCACCTTGTACCCATTTAGACCACAAGCTGGTCTGGATTCCATTCATTTATTTTAAAGTCTGTTTCTAGCCCTCATAGAAGAAATGGAGACAGAAGGCAAAATATGCTATCACTATTTGGGCTGTTTTTTGAGAAACCAAACTTTTAATATGACTAGCTAATCTGTGATGCCACCCACAGTTTCACAGAATCGTACAAATGTATAATAGAAGGCTCACCTCTCATGGTAAAATTCGGCAACTGTGCAAAAGCCTAGCCTAGCTGGTTTGTAGACAATTGAAATTTTGGTAGAGCAATCTTCATATAGTGAGCAAAAGCAATCAAGTAAAAAGAATAATGCTGGCTAATGGGAGCTTTTCTTGATCACAGTCATGAAGTCAAAGAATTTGCTATGATCTATAAAGCACAAACTGATTTTCTTTTGAAATTCTTTGGTATGTTCCAGTTTCGTTTTGTTTCGTTTAGTCGTTTAGTCATGTCCGACTCTTCGTGACCCCATGGACCAGAGCACGCCAGGCCCTCCTGTCTTCCACTGCCTCCCGGTGTTGGGTCAAATTCATGTTGGTTGCTTTGCAGACACTGTCCAGCCATCTCATCCTCAGTCGTCCCCTTCTCCTCTTGCTGTCGCACTTTCCTAACATCAAGGTCTTTTCCAAGGAGTCTTCTCTTCTCATTAGATGGCCAAAGTACTGGAGCCTCAGCTTCAGGATCTGTCCTTCCAGTGAGCACTCAGGGTTGATTTCCTTTAGAACTGATAGGTTTGTTCTCCTTGCAGTCCAGGGGATTCTCAAGAGTCTCCTCCAGCACCACAATTCAAAGGCATCAATTCTTCTGCGGTCTGCTTTCTTTATGGTCCAGCTCTCACTTCCATACATCATGACAGGAAAAACCATAGCTTTGACTATTCGGACTTTTGTTGGCAAGGTGATGTCTCTGCTTTTCAATATGCTGTCCAGATTTGTCATCGCTTTCCTCCCAAGAAGAAGGCGTCTTTTAATTTCAGGGCTGCTGTCTCCATCTGCAGTGATCATGGAGCCCAGGAAGATAAAATTTGACACTGCCTCCATATCTTCCCCTTCTATTTCCCAGGAGGTGATGGGACCAGTGGCCATGATCTTAGTTTTTTTGATGTTGAGTTTCAGACCGTTTTTTGCACTCTCCTCTTTCACCCGCATTACAAGGTTCTTTAATTCCTCCTCACTTTCTGCCATCAGAGTGGTATCATCTGCATATCGGACGTTGTTGATATTTCTTCCGGAAATCTTAATTCCAGTTTGGGATTCCTCCAGTCCAGCCTTCTGCATGATATATTCTGCATATAAGTTAAATAAGCAGGGAGACAATATACAGCCTTGTTGTACTCCTTTGCCAATTTTGAACCAATCAGTTGTTCCATATCCAGTTCTAACTGTTGCTTCCTGTCCCACATATAGGTTTCTCAAGAGATAGATAAGGTGGTCAGGCACTCCCATTTCTTTAAGAACTTGCCACAGTTTGCTGTGGTCGACACAGTCAAAGGCTTTTGCATAGTCAATGAAGCAGAAAAATATCTACTGCTTCATTGACTATGTTCCAGTAAGAAACATATATTTGCAAAATGAGCTCTAATGCCTTTTCTTTTTCTGAATCCAGCTCGAACATCTTTGTCTTTCCTTCTCTGTATGTGATAGAAGTCTTTATTGTAAAATCTTGAGAATCACTATGCTCATATGAGAAGTGAATGAAGTGATCCTATTGTTACCACAAACGTCGGTATCTTATTTCTTCTCGACTGGAATTAATATTGAACATTTTCAGTCTGTGGGCCATTATGTTTCGTTTTCCATATCTGTTGGCTTTGTTATGTGATGTCAAAAAGTCTTATCATCAACAAACCTGCATAGCTCATAAAAACATGAGGCTGTGGCTTTCTTTATTGAATCAATCCATCTCCTATTCAGTCTTTCTCTTCTCCTGCTTCCTTCAACTATTCCCTTTCCCCATTTTAGCATACAAATAAAACTGTAATGTAGATTTCACTAAGAATTACTGATTGGCCTAAGCATACCAAGTAAGATTTGTGACTAAGCAAGAATTTGATTTTGGGTTTCTCTGTTTCAAGTTTCAACTCCTTAAATGTTATCTTAAATATTATATTACAGTATACTGGATCTCTAATACTCGTATGAGTGGTTAGTGTCAAAATAATGCCAAGGTAAAAACATACCAGCAGAAAAACATTGCAACAATTACTGTCCTTTGCATAATATATAAATAAATCCACCTAATTTTGCATAATATTCTATCCTCCACTAGTTTAATATTTTATCCTCCACTGATTGCTTGATAAAAAATAAACTCACTTTAGCCTCTTAGTGTTCTAGGCAACTGCCAAATCCTGTTGCCTATTTATAACTGGGATGCAAAAACGAAACTCACAGTGGCTTCTCACTGCTAATTAATGAGTCCCTGCTTAGACTTTCTGGGTCTGTTCTACTTGGGTGGGTTGGTGCATACCTGAAAATCCAAGTAGGGACTTTTTAACTGCTGTCTGACCTCTGCAGGAATAACTGTGCAACAGGATTTGGGGCAATGAGTGCAAATGTACTGAGATATTATTTTAAAAATTATTCATTGTGTTATGCT